TATAAAAATAACTCTAGGATATAGAATTAAATAAAAACACATAAAGTTCAGGACTGTGAATATATTATGCTATCTCTGGGAAAATAAAGGGGGAAAATACTAATATATATTTGTCTTCAGTTAAAAAAAAAAAAACCTACTCGGGCCGGCCTGTGCTCACTCGGTAGAGTGCGGTGCTGATAACAGTATTATGCTATCTCTGGGAAAATAAAGGGGGAAAATACTAATATATATTTGTCTTCAGTTAAAAAAAAAAAACCTACTCGGGCCGGCCTGTGCTCACTCGGTAGAGTGCGGTGCTGATAACACCAAGGCCACGGGTTCAGATCCTATATAGGGATGGCCGGTTTGCTCACTGGCTGAGCGTGGTGCTGACAACACCAAGCCAAGGGTTGAGATCCCCTTACCGGTCATCTATTAAAAAATTTTTTTAAAAACTTAAAAAAAACCCTACTCAGTTTGGATACCTGTGAGGTGGGGAATAGGTAGGAATAAAGTGTCTTACTGCTTAACTTGTCATATTATTTTGTTTTTGTGCCAAAAGCATTCATTTCCTATTTAGAATAAATAAGTAAAAAATTTAAAAAATCAATTACATTGCTTCAAGGAAAACACTCACAATTTTTCAATATTGTGAGCCAGGGTTCCATTAGATATTACTGAGATGCCAATAGCGTGTCTGCTACATTCCAGACATGTTTTTGGGTTTTTTTGTTTTTGTTTTTGTTTTTGTTTTTATTTTTGGCGACTGGCAAGTACAGGAATACAAACCCTTGACCTTGGTGTTATAACACCTCGTTCTAACCAATTGAGCTAACTGGCCAGCCCTTAGACATTATTTAAAAGACTTGGGAGTTCAGATCTCCATTCCAGCCAGCCACCAATAAAGAAATAAATAAATAAAAGACTTGGGATACAACAGTGAACAAAATAATCAATGACCCTTGCTCTCATGGAGCTAACATTATAGAGAGGAAGAAAGAAACTAAACAATAGTTATAATAAACAAGTAAGGTATATATCAGAGATTGATCAGGGCTATGACAAACAAAAAAAGAGGAATGAGAAGAGTGGGGTGGATCAGGGTGCCAGAGTTTGGGACGGGGGGCTTATTTGCAATTTTCAGGATGATCAGGAAGAGCTTATTGAGAAGGTATGTACAAGGAGGTGAAGGGGTGAGTCATGTGGAAATTGTGGTAGGGAGTGGATTTCTGGGCACAGGCTTTAAAGCAGGTAGGTATTCAGTGAGTGCATGAAACAGGAGGCTAGTGTGGAGTAAAGCCAAAGCAGAGTAAGAAACTGTGAGGACCTTTGATTTAACTCTGAGAGGACTTTATGCAGAGAAAGACACGTTCCAAACTTATGTTTTGCATTATTTTTATACTGCTGTGTAAAAGTTACCATAAACCTTACAGCTTAAAACGATGCAAACCTATTATTTCACATCTTCAGTGATTCAGTTCAGTCACAGCTTAACTGAGTTTTCTGCTTCAAGGTCTTACAAAGCTGTACTCAAGTTGTCAATCGGGGCTTGGTTATTATCAGAGACTCAGCTGAGGAAGGATTTGCTTTGAAATTCATTTGGGTTAATGCTAGAATTTATTATCTTGCAGTTGTAGGACTAAAAGCTTCAGTTTCTTGCTGCCTTTCAATGACGGTTACCTCAGCCCCTAGAAGCTGCGTGCAATTTAATATGTTGGCTTACCAACATGGCTGCTTGCTTCATCAAGTCTAGAGGGGAGAGAGAGAATCCAGTAAGCTGGGCCTTACCATCTTATGAAACATGATCATGTAGACATAGTTACGTACATCCCTACATCTTTGGCATATTTTATATGTTTAGAAGCAAGTGATAGATCAGCCCCACACTCATGGATAGAGGTCATACAAGGACATGAATACCAAGAAGCAGGGATTATGGGACCCACACCAGTCATCCTAGAATCTATCTGCAGCACACTTTCAGAGTCTCAATCAGGCTGCTGCAAGAATAGACTTTAGTTGGGTGAGGATGAAAGCCCAGAGAACAGTTAGGAGGCTGTTACAGGAATTCAGAAGAGAGAATTTGTGGGTAAGATCAGAATGATAACAGCAGTGGAGGTGAAGAGTTCTCTCCTTCTCTCTATATATATCTACATAGATATAGATAAACTTTTCATGTGGAAATAATTTCAAAATTACAGAAAAGTTGGAAGAATAATGCAAAGAAACTCTGTATACCCTTTACCCAAATTTATCAATTGCTACCATTTAGTCACATTTGCTTTATCATTTTCTCCTTCTCTCTCTCCCACTAGCTATTGATTTATATTTTTCTGAACATAAAGTTTCACACTTATTTCTTCCTAATATTTCAGATTGAAATTCCTGAGAACAAACACACCATCTTACACAACCAGAGGACAATTGCCAGTATCAGAGAATTTAACATTGGACCACTGGATCCATATGGATATTACATTCATCATCAGTAATCTACCACATGTAATATAACAATGGATTCATATCAGATTTGATCTGGCTAGGCAGAGTATGCTTTTTTTTTTAACTGTCTTTATTTGGAGATTAAGAATGGTTTAAGGGAAAACAAACAAACAAAAACAAAGAAAATGGTTTAACGTAACAAGGGAAGGAGTATGACTGCTAACTATATATGTAAACTTGGTTAGGCTGTCCTACTCAGTTATTTAATCAAATACTCACCCAGGTGTCCCTGTGAAGGTAATTTGTAGATGTGGTTATTATCTACAATAAGTTCACTTTAAGAAATTTATTTTGATAATATGAGTGGGTCTTATGCAATCAGCTGAACAGCCTTAAGAGCAAAACTGAGGGTTCCCTGGGGAAGAAATTCTGCCTCAAGGCTGCACCATCAGCTCCTACCCAAGTTACCAGCCTGCTGGTCTGCCTCTTATCCTATGGACTTGGGATTTGCCAGCCTCCACAATCACATAAACCCATTCTTTGAAATAAAATAAATCTCTCAATCTCTCCCTCTACCTCTCCTCTCCCTCCTCCTCCCTCTCTTTCGAGTACCCTAACACACCCTTCATTCCTTGATGAAATAAATATCCTGTCACTATGCTTCTTTCGCATCTTCAAAAAATTAAATCTCTTGACTTAATTTCCTGCACTCATTGATTCCATTTCTTAACCACACGCATCCTCAACTCATGAAAGATAGATTTTATTCTTTCAGCTTCACAGTTATGAAAAAATCACCAATGGTGACTTCTAAAATTGCTTAATATTCCTCTCAGGGAGGACCATTAGAACTCCTAACCTGAATTTGTTGGTTTCTTATCAACCACTTAATGATGCTGAAGTGGTCCAGTGTTCATGCTCTGTCTATTCTCTTCTTCATGCACACTCATTTCCTCGATGTTCTTTTTTTTTTTTTTTTTTTTTTTTAAAGATAACCGGTAAGGGGATCTTAACCCTTGACTCGGTGTTGTCAGCACCACGCTCACCCAGTGAGCTAACCTGCCATCCCTATATGGGATCCGAACCCGTGGCCTTAGTGTTCTCAGCACTGCACTCTCCCGAGTGAGCCACGGGCCGGCCCTCGATGTTCTAACTCAGTATCACGACTTGAAATAAGAGTGCACGCTAAGAACTCCCGGATTGACATATCCAAGCTCTCTACCCGTCTCCCAATGTTCAATTACAGGCTGAATTGCCTGTGACACAGATACTTCGTGATCGACATTTCCTACGGATCATGCTCGAAATTGGAGTCCTGAGCTTCCCTCCAAGCCTCCTCCACTTGAGCTTCCCCACCTGAGGGGATGGCAAATCTTCGAGTGCTCCAGTCCAAACACGTGACTCCTAAGTCCGTGCACCACGTGGAGGCTGCTCTGGGCCAAAGAAAATCCAATAGAGGACGGTCTAGTGAATGCACAACATGTTGGGGCGGGACTTCTGTTGTCCTCCTCGTAACGGTTGCTAAGCTACTTTTTAGGTTGTCCCCCGAGAAGATGATCGGGGGAGGAGGTATCCGGACTGGGGCAGTCAAGAGGCAAGAGCCGAAGGTCCGCTTCCGCGCATTTGCACTAGCCCTGGCCCAGGCAAATGTCTCTGCCTCCCGAGCCTTGATGTCCCCGGCCAAGAATGGACAGTCTCCCCCAACCGAGTCCCATCGCAAAAATGTTGGTCTGAGGCAGAGCTCCGATCCTTGCGCGCCTTTCACACTGAGGAAGATGTGCTGAGTAAGACGCTCCCCGCGTCGTTGGATATAGTGGGAAAACTACATTACCCAGAAGGCTGTGCATTGTGCGTGCGGGGGGAGGGGGGCGGGGCGGCCATGATGGCTCAAAACAGGGGCGTTTCCTGCGACACACGCCGGCGGGGGCGAGACTTCCGGGTTCGCCGCCGGCGCCATTTGTCTCAGCGTTTAGGTCCCGATCCTTGTTGAGTTGCTGAGGGCTCCGGACGGGACCTCTTTTCAGGCCTGGGACCGAGCAGAGGAGGAGGATAGGAACTTACTCCGCACCCTTGTTATGAGCCGGACCCTCTGTGACGGGCGTGTTCCCAGGTCGCCCGCCGGGCAGCGGCCACTCCTCTCCCGCCTGTCAGCCCCGCAGTCGTCAAGGGCGGTGCCTTGGGCCTGGTGAGCCATTTCCCCTGAGGAGAAGGCGGTCCCGAGTGCGGCCGTCAGCCGTGGTCACCCGGGCAGCGCGGGGCGCAGGTGGAGGTCAGGCGAGCCGCGTGGGTGCCAGCCTCTCCCAGTCCTGCGCGGCCCACAAGGTTTCGCCATGGCGGCGGCAGCGTCCCTGGCGGACCAGACGCAGGTGAGTGGACAGTGATTTCGTAATTGTTGCTCCTCTGTCGGGACGGAGACGGTTCTTGAAGGGGCTGGAGGCAAGTTAGCCCCTAGCTTTATCTGTGCATTTGTTGTTCGTGTATGTGGAGCTGGTTTGCTACTTAGTTTATCTCCAGTCTTAAATGATGTTGGGCTTCCGAAAGGTGCTCAATAAATTGTTGAAAGAATGAATGACGCTTTCTCCAGGGGCTCCCATCATACTTAGAATAAGACCCAATCCTCCTTATGGTCTCCGAAGGGAGTGATCGAAGGTTGTGGGAAGCTAGTTTGGGTTTTGTCATTCCTCAGGTAGATGTCAACCCTATCTTGTAAGGTCAGTGTTGAGGGAGGGTCTGCTTCCTCTGCCCATGTTGACACAGTATTACACAAATATTCAACAGCAAAAATGAGTGGCAGTGCATCACAGTCCTGTTACTTTAGATTCACTCTAGTGGTGGAGGAGTGTCAGGGATACACTGTTAAATCCTGGACCAGAACAGCATGTACAAATGTGTGATTCTGGGTCAATTGGTAGAGCTCCCTTAGTCTCAAATCCCTGACTAAGACATGATGGTGGTGATGATGTTGATGTCAGGGACTGTGAGAGGATTAAAAAAAAAAACCCAAAGCACACTGAGCATTGAATAATTTCTCGTTAAATCTCACAGCTGTTATTGGTGAAGTGGGAACTATTATTGTATTGATCCAGATATCAAGGTTCACAGAAATGAAGTACTGTCTTCGAGGTAACACAGCTGGCAAGTGTCGATTTCAAGAGTGGATTCAAACCCAAAGAGTCTGACTTCAGGGCGGGGACTTTTAGTCATTTTAACACAGGATGTGAAGCCCTCAGCATGGGGCAGGCATCTGGCTGGACCAGTGAGGCTGTTGTGGATTGGTAGTATTATCATAGTCATTATTTCGTCATTCCTTTGATGTCCTGAAGCCGTTACCGCCTGCATCTCACAGTCCGCAAGTCGTTTCTGTTGTCTTGTGTCATTCTCTAATAGCGCACTCCTCAGAGGTTTCTCCCCTGTAGACTACTGTATCATGTCCAAAGCAGTGTCTACCTCCCCCTTGAGCCCAGCACAGAGCTTGGCCCTCAGGAGGTGCTCTGTGATTTGAGCCTTGATCTCTGCACCTTTTCTAGCAAAGTATAGACAAGCTGTCATCACATTCACCAGCCCAAAGACCAACACTGCTACCTTTAGCCCTCAGGAGGTGCTCTGTGATTTGAGCCTTGATCTCTGCACCTTTTCCAGCAAAGTATAGACAAGCTGTCATCACATTCACCAGCCCAAAGACCAACACTGCTACCTTTATTTGACTTTCCAGGTGTCTGTGACATTTGATGATGTGGCCGTGACTTTCACCCAGGAGGAGTGGGGACAACTGAACCCAGCTCAGCGGACCCTGTACCGGGAGGTGATGCTGGAAAACTGCGGGCTCCTGGTCTCTCTGGGTAAGGCCTTACCCCTCCACCATGCAGGGGATGTGCCACCTCCCTCCTTCTGGCCTCTGGAACCTGCCTTCCCTCCTTCCCACAGCTTTAGTCATTTTCTAATTCATCTCTTCCTGTATGGTCTCCCTGTGTCTCATTGGGCAAGAAACATAGTACTCTTTGGCTTTCAGCCAAAGGAAAGAAAGTGGTAGAAGGAAATGAGGTGTTTTACAGAATCCAAAGGTAGGATTTACATCTATGCATTACAAGGAGCTGACATAGGAACTGAGAACCAGCATGATTATGTCCTGACTTCTCTCTCTGGGTCTGCTCATGTTACTGTCTATTCAGAATGGCTTTTTCTGCCTTAGCAAGTTTGTGGCAAGAGTGGCCACCCAGGTCCTTGCTCTTTGACCCCCAGATTCCTTGTCTCTATTTCTCTGGCCTCTGTGGGGTGTCCTTGAGGCAGCAAGTATCCCACGTCCCCACTGTGCCCAAGCTTCCCAACATAGACTGGCTTCTGTCTGAAGTTCTTTTTTTGAGTTCAGAGAGGAATGTGACTGAGTGAGCCTGGTTTTTCAGGTGTCCCCTTTACAGCCCAGTCAGCAGGGCCATGGTTGATGGGGTGTTCTCCAAGAAGAAGGTGGGTCAGGCAGGCCTCCAGAGGCATTTGCCTTCATTACCGTCAGGTATTATTTTAAACACCACAGTCTCAGTTATGAGACTTCTTTATCCACGTATGCCTTCATGATTTTCTCTTTTCTAAGTCCAGGACCAGGATTTTCTGCTAGTACGAGAGAAGGAGAGAAAGACAGAAGTTTAGAGCAGTGCTTCTCAACAATCGGTGATTCCCCCCCACCCCTCCAGCACATTTGACAGTGTCTGCAATCACTTTTGGTTATCACACCTGGGTTGCGGGTGGTACTGGCATCTAGTGGATAGAGTCCAGGGTGTTGCTAAACATCCTGCAATGCATAAGACAATCCCCCTCAACAATAAAATCTTCCAGCCCCAAATGTCAGGAGTGCCAAGGTTGAGAAACACCAACTTAGGTGATTCTCTGCTTGAAGATAATCACAGACCATTCAGTTCAGAGGAAAGGAGGATATCAATGCAGGGCTGTTCTAGAAACTCAGTTTAGGGTAAGACCTGTCTATTTTGAGGGAATTGGAATTATGTTCTGTGTCAGTGAGAAGAGGTAAAACAAAGTTGGAACATTTTGATAGATTAACATAGTTTTTTAATGAAATTTTGAAAATAAAACCCTATACCTGACCCTGCTGACCTCTTAAATCACCTTTACATCCTTTTGCCTGGAGTGTACTATGCTCCAGCCTTGCTGGGCTTCTTGCTGTTTCCCCAAGTGCCCACCCACTTCAGGCCGTTGCACTTACTGTTCTGTCTGTGTGGTGAGTTTTCTCTGGGTGCTGCAGCATTTTACATGGCTGCCTTTGTTCAGCACAGTCACCACCTCCTCACCTGCTATTTCCTGGTCACCACATCTTGTGAAGGCCCTTCCCTCATCACACTCTCCTTCTCCCATTATCATATTTACATTTTTCTAAGCCAGTGGTTCTCAAGCAGGGACGAAGTTACACTTCAGTGGACACTGGGCAATATGTGGACATATTTTTCATTGTGAAAAGAGGGATGAGGATGCTACTGGCATCTAGTGGGTGGACACCTGGAATGATGCTGCTAAACATCCTTGTAACGCACAGGACATATATTTTCTCCCCTCCTCCCACCAAACAAAGAAATATCTGGTCCTAAATGTTAGTCGTGCGGAGGTTGAGAAACCTTGTTTTAGAGGGTGCACAGACACTTCAATCAAGTAGCACTGAAAGATACCCTGGGGGAGCCATTCCTTTCTTTCTTCTCTTTCCTGCCTCCTGATTGTTGTTGAGGGAAGGTTTGGAGTTAGTGCTGAGTCTTTTTAAAAAGATGACCGGTAAGGGGATCTTAACCCTTGGCTTGGTGTTGTCAGCACCACGCTCAGCCAGTGAGCTAACCGGCCATCCCTATATAGGATCCGAACCCATGGCCTTGGTGTTATCAGCACCACACTCTCCCGAGTGAGCCACAGGCCGGCCCATAGTGCTGAGTCTTAACACTGCAAACTGTTGCTGATTTCCCCTTCTCAGCAGAGGTAGCAGCCTCTCAGGTTCATAGCCCTAAGCAGGCAGCATGAGTTTGCTGGGACTGAAAAATATTGTTTTGATTTCACTGCTGCATTTAATTGATAACCTGACATTAGGGCATGAGACTCTGGGTTTTCCATTTACCAGAGAGATGCAGGATTTCCTTTTTGAAGAAATCTAAGAAAAATGGAGAGTGGATCACTTTTAAGAAAAGCAATAATGGTCACAGCTTGGGTCCCTTGAGCACTGATTGGATGTAAGGCCTATTCTCTCATCTTACACTTACTATTTTTTTTCAGGGCTCACATGTCGTTTAATTGTGGGGAGGTTCGGGGAGGACAGAGTATCAAGAACAGCATTTTTACCAAGTTGGTCTAAAAATGAAACAGGATCTGGACATCTTCCACTTATTTAATTCTGATGACATAATAGCTATTGTGAGTACTGGTGGGATTTTTTTGTTGTCATTGTTGAAGTCGGCTTTGAGTTGGTTTACTTATGAAAGTACTCCTAGGCAAATTAATGTTATCTTTAGGAATTAGCTAGTCCTAGAAGGTGCACTTTCTCCTCAGATCGTCAAATCCTCCCGAGATGTCAAAACATCTTAAAATAATAAAAGTATTTATTTTATTTTTTTTTATTTTGGGTGGCTGGCTGGTATAGGGATCCGAACATTTGATCTTGGTGTTATCAACACCACACTCTACTCAACTGAGCTAACCTGCCAGCCCTGGAAAATTTTTTAAATCACGATTAATACAATTGGTCCTTTGATGTCTTCACTTTGTATTAAGGAAACACTGGGTGATGATAGTGGAGATTTTTTAAAAGTATGTCATATGTTGCCCTAAACAGTACAAAAAAACAATTTATTATGAGAGGAGAAAGGAGGAACACAGTAGAGATATAAGAAGTCCCTGTAGGGAGGCCCATAACTTTCTGTTTATATGTCATTAGCCAAGATAATATCCAAAAATTTGGGCAGTTGCTAACATATTCTTTTTTTTTTTTTCACTGGCTGGCTGGTCCAGGGATCTGAACCAACCCGCCAGCCCCTCTAACGGTATCCTGGTTGAGTTGTAAAGTATGCTAAAAGTGTGAGAGAGATATATGTACATATAGTGTTTGCATATAGCCAAGGGGAAAGAATTGTTATGTAAGATTAGAGACGCAGTGCAGAAGGTCATGTCGGAAGGCTGAAAGAAAGTAGTAGGAGCAGGCAGTAGGGAGTATGTGGTCCTTTCCCCAGGGCACAGAGGGGTTGACTGATATGACATGGGTGCCTCTGGGGAAAGCAATAGTCTGCATTAATTTTTAGGATGGTACAGATAGTAGTAACATCTACCAGATTTCCCTTTTGATAGAGAGCAAGAAATATATCAGGATCATGGATCAGCACTCTCAGAAACATGACAGAATCCCTAATATCAAAGGAAGAAAGCAAGAGTGTCCTGTGTCCAATTTGCACCTTAGGATTGGCAGTTCATGGACATCACTGGGGTGGAGGTGTTAGTATCTGGGATAATGTTATCTCCAGTGAGAAGATATTAGGCAGAGGTGATATCTTCCGGGATGTGGTACTGGGGTATCCTTTTTGAATGGGTATGCCCTTGAGTTGATGTGGGTCTCAGTATTTGCAATGTTTGGTTGGAACAATGGCTTACTGAGAGGGTTTGGGCCTCCATATTATAAACCAGTGAAAGTGCCCAAACCGGTAGTAATAAGACCAGCAGTTAACAGAATTGTTTGCAGCTGCATCTCATGGTTTGTGATTTTGGGGAGGGGAAGAGTGGTTATTTTTGGAAGTTCAGGCTTAAAGATTCCAGTTAATGAGTAGTTGCCTGGCGCATGGGACAATCTGTTGTTAATAGATACCAGGAGAGCATGCTCCCTCGATCATGCCTTCAGCCCCTGCAGGATGGTGGCAAGTTCCAAAATTTATAGATGGGAGAGACATTATTAAAGTGCCTAATATATAAGGAGCCTTTAAGTATAGAAAAGGGTGATGGGGGCTGGCCCGGTGGCGCACTAGAGAGTGCGCCGCCCGCTCCCGCCGAGGGTTCGGATCCCATGTGGAGACCGGTTCCGCTCACTGGTTGAGCGCGGTGCGGGCGCAACACCGAGGGTTGCGATCCCTTTACCGGTCAGTAAAAAAGACAAAAAGGAAAAAAAAAAAGAAAAGGGTGATGGGAAAGTTGGTGTGAGTTGGCCAAGAAACCTTGAATTAAGAAAGATTGAGACCTAGGGGCAAAATAGAGACCTATTTAGGGAGTCTGTTTGTCAAGTTACAATTGGAAAAGGAGTTGTTTGAGGAAACCATTATGTCTTTTAGTTAAACTAGCTATTTGGGGCCTATTAGGAACATGAAAGTTCTATTGAATTTCAAGAGCCCAGCCTTGTATATTTTGAGAGGTGAAGTGTGTGCCTTGGTTCTTATTATCAGTACTGTCTATAACTCTGAAGAGAATAAAGAGTATCCTTACAAGGCCCTGTATTATGGCCTAGGTATGTGTAGAGACATGTGATTTTGATTTATTTTTTTGTCTGTGAAACAAGAGATTCCCAGAAATCTTTTTTTTTTTTTTTTTCTTTTTTTGTCTTTTTTCGTGACCGGCAATGGATTGCAACCCTCAGTGTCGCGCCCGTACC